AGGGGGGGGTGAAAAAGATTGTTTGGGTCGCTGTACCGAACTCAGCATGTCCCCAGGATGTGCATGGGGGACTTACTTCCATATGGAGGGTAACAGCTGCTGCAAAGTACTTGCGAACCACGTCATGGGGTATGAGATGGTAACGGGAAGTCATGGAAATCCCTGTCCCCTGTTGATATGTGTTTCGATTGCTTTACAGACTTTACTTTCTCCTTCCTCTTGTATCCTTACGTGTTAAGGGGAGGTGCAAAGGTATGAAGGTACTGAGGGAAGATGCAATTTCAGTAAATAACTTGGTATGTGGCTTCTGCTGTAGATAGATCTATGTTAATCTGTTGGAGGGTCTCTTTGTTGCTATCGAGCCACGTCCTCCATGGTCTACCCCCTGCCTTTGTAGCCTGATTCTCTTGATTTGTATCGCTCGTGCAGCTGGTTGACTTGGTGCGAGGGAAAAAAAGGGGGGGGGGTCGCATTCTCCACAGGTGACCGAACTACTGTTCAATATTTTCCATATCCAGTTTCATCTCGGACTGACAGTTTTGTTCCGCATGCAGTCTTTCCGTGTAAAATAGATTATATTTTTGAGGCATTTCATCTCACATTCATTGATCTTTCTGTTTTGTGCTGTGTTAAACTGCCACGTTTCCAGTGTTGGGAAGAAATAATATGATGTTGTTGATAAGCTATCTTTTCACTTCCATTTATAGGTGTTTATGGATGAGTAATGGTGACAGTGAAGTACATTTTTGTGTCGTCTGTTCAACTTCCCTGTCCAGCTGTCCATCGTATTTTATTCTCCTCAGAGAAAATCCTGGTCTCTCAATGAGATATTCTTATGTCAGTTTTGATATCTGACTCAGAAAAAGACTTCAAGTGATTCTGTTTCTTTAGATTTAATATTCCTCTTACGACCACTTTCAGTCCATTATTATCCTATGTTGCTATTTTCAGTAATAATCTTAACAATGCCACGTTTGTTTTGTGGTAAACGACGTAACAAAGACTCACCACTGTTGTCCAAAGTTACTATTTGTGAGGCATAGTGGTGAAATCATGCGCTCGTCATGATAGTGAAATCTAAGATTTCGGCAGATTCACCTCGGTTTAGCAATCTTTATCAAAATGTTGTTGTTTCGATGATTGTCTTTTCTTGTCATTAAAAAAACACATTTTTGGAGGATATAACAACCCCCCCC